AAAGGAGTTCGAGCAACTATGGTAGATCCGGAGCTCGTGGGAAGTCTAAGAGCCGATCCAAATCAAAAGCCAGAAATTGGTACAATTGTGATTAACCAGGCCACTTCAAAAGAGATTGCCCAAATCCAAGGAAGGGCAAAGATGAAACTAGTGGCCAGAAAAATAATGACAACACATCCGCCATGGTGCAAAACAATGATAATATTGTCCTCTTTATAAATGAAGAAGAGGAATGCATGCACTTATCAGGACTAGAGTCAGAATGGGTGGTTGATACAACAACATCTTACCATGCCACACCGATAAGAGATCTTTTTTGCAGATATGTAGCAGGTGATTTCGGTACTGTGAGAATGGGTAACACAAGTTATTCAAAGATTGAGGGGATTGGTGACATTTGTATCAAGACAAATGTCGGATGCATACTGATTCTAAAGGACGTGCAACATGTACATGATTTGCGGATGAACTTGATCTCGGGAATTGCTTTAGACCGAGAAGGATACGAGAACTATTTTGCAAATCAAAAGTGGGACTCACCAAGGGATCATTGGTGATTGCAAAGGGAGTTTCTCATGGCATGTTGTACAGGACAAATGCAGAAATATGCCAAGGTGAATTGAACGCTGCACAAGATGAGATTTCTATAGATTTGTGGCACATGGTCATATGAGTAAGAAGGGATTGCAGATTCTTGCCAGGAAATCACTTATTTCTTATGCCAAAGGTACAACGGTAAAACCTCGTGACTTCTATTTATTTGGTAAGCAAAATAGAGTCTTATTTCAGACATCGTCTGAAAGAAAATTAAATATGCTTGATTTAGTATATTCTAATATTTGTGGTCCAATGAAAATTGAATCAATGGGCGGTAACAAATACTTTATTACTTTTATTGATGATGTTTCACGAAAATTATGGATTTATATTTTTAAAACCAAAGATTAGGTGTTTCAAGTTTTCCATAAGTTTCATACTCTGGTGGAAAGGGAGACATGCCAAAAGCTAAAGCGTCTCCGAAGTGACAATGGAGGTGAGTACACTTCAAGGGAATTTGAAGAGTATTGTTCGAGCCATGGGATTAGACATGAAAAGATAGTTCTTGGAACCCCACAACACAATGGTGTAGCCGAAAGGATGAACCGCACTATTTGTGGAGAAAGTGAGAAGCATGCTCAGAATGGCTAAACTGCCTAAGTCATTCTGGGGTGAAGCAGTCCAGACAACCTGTGACCTGATCAATAGGAGTCCATTAGTTCCGTTGGCATTTGACATCCCAGAGAGAGTTTGGACCAACAAGGAAGTGTCCTACTCGCATCTGAAGGTGTTCGGTTGCAGAGCTTTTGCACATGTACCAAAGGAGCAGAGAACAAAACCGGATGATAAATCTATTCCCTGCATATTCATCGGATATGTAGATGAAGAGTTCAGATACATATTGTGGGATCCTGTAAAGAAGAATATCATCAGAAGAAGAGATGTAGTCTTCCGAGAAAGTGAAGTTGGAACTGCTGATGATATGCCAGAGAAGGCCAAGAATGGTATAATTCCTAACCTTGTTACTATTCCTTCTACTTCTAACAATCCCAAAAATGCAGAAAGTAGGACCGACGAGGTTGCCATGCAGGGGGAGCAACCTAGTGAGGTTATTGAGCAGGGGGAGCAACTTGATGATGGTGTCGAGCAACTGGAGCACCCCACTCAGAAAGAAGAACAACCTCAACCTCTGAGGAGATCAGAGAGGCCAAAGGTAGAGTCATGTAGGTACCCTTCCACAGAGTATGTCCTCATCAGTGATGAAAGGGAGCTAGAAAGCCTTAAGGAGGTGCTGTCCCATCCAGAAAAGAACTAGTGGATGAAATCCATGCAAGAAGAGATGGAATCTCTACAGAAAAATGGCACGTACAAGTTGGTTGAACTTCCAAAGGGTAAAAGACCACTCAAATGCAAATGGGTCTTTAAACTCAAGAAAGATGGAAATGGCAAGCTGATGAGATACAAAGCTCGATTGGTGGTTAAAGGTTGCGAACAGAAGAAAGGTATTGATTTTGACGAAATTTTCTCACTTGTTGTCAAAATGACTTCTATTCGAACAATTTTGAGCTTAGTAACTAGCCTAGATCTTGAAGTGGAACAATTGGACGTGAAAACTATATTTCTTCACGGAGATTTGGAAGATGAGATCTATATGGAGCAACCAGAAGGATTAGAAGTAGCTGAAAGGAAACACATGATGTGCAAACTGAATAAGAGTCTTTATGGGCTGAAGCAGGCACCAAGTCAGTGGTATAAGAAGTTTGACTCATTCATGAAAAGTCAAACTTACACAAAGACATATTCTGATCCATGTGTATACTCAAAAGTTTTTCTGATAATAACTTTATTATATTGTTGTTGTATGTGGATGACATGTTGATTGTAGGAAAAGACAATGGGCTGATCGCAAAGTTGAAGGGAGATTTGTCCAAGTCATTTGATATGAAGGACTTGGGCCCAACACAATAAATTCTCGGTATGAAGATAATTTGAGAGTGAACAAGCAAAACGTTGTAGCTGTCTAAGGAGAAGTAATTGAACGTGTACTGGAATGCTTCAACATAAAGAATGCTAAGCCAGTAAGCACACCTCTTGCTAGTCATCTAAAGTTGAGCAAGAAGATGTGTCCTACAACAGTGGAAGAGAAAGGGAACATGGCTAGAGTTCCTTATTCTTCAGCAGTCGGAAGCTTGATGTATGCAGTGGTATGCACTAGACATGATATTGCTCACGCAGTTGGTGTTGTGAGGAAGTTTCTTGAAAATTTTGGAAAGGAACATTGGGAAATAATCAAGTGGATACTTAGGTACCTAAGACGTACTGTAGGAGATTGCTTCTATTTTGGAGGATCTGATCCAATCTTAAAGGGCTATACGGATGCTGATATGGCAGGTGATCTTGATAATCGTAAATATACTACATGATACATGTTTACATTTTCAGGGGGAGCTATATCATGGCAGTCAAAGTTGCAGAAGTGTGTTGCACTCTCTACAACTGAAGCAGAGTATATTGCCGCTACTTAAGCTGGAAAGGAGATGTGTTTTAAGTGTAGGGGAGATGGTAAAAAGAGTTGGGGTTTTGTTCCAGTCCTAGCTTACCGCTCGTCGTGTTAAGTAGTTGTTCTGATGGTTTAGCTGAAACGGTCCTTCGAGAGCTTGGATTACATCAAAATGAGTATGTCGTCTGTGACAGTCAAAGTGCAATAGACCTGAGAAAAAATATCATGTATCATGCAAGGACGAAACATATCGACGTGAGATATCACTGGATTCGAGAAAGGATAGAGGATAGATCTATGCAGGTCAAGAAGATCCATACAAGTGAGAATCCTTCGGATATGCTGACCAAGGTAGTACTAAGAGACAAGTTTGAGCTATGCAAAGAACTTGTCGGCATGCACTCAAACTAGAATCATCGGTGTTACCTCTTTCAGGTGAATGAGACTGGAGGGGAGATTTGTGGGGTCCATCCTATGATTAAGGCCTTTGATAAAGACTTCTAAGTCTTTTTCTTTGAATTGGCAGCCACCGTTTCTGAATTTTCAACAATTGAAGGAAAATGCCAAATATAGTAGGCGTGAGAGAGTGAGGCTCCGCCTATAAAAGGAGAGCTTCAACTCTCATCTCTACACACCAATTTCAGAGAAAAAATATATCTGAGAGTTAGACAGAAACAGTGAGGTTTCACAGATAGGGTATAAGAAAATAGTGTGTGAGAAAAATAGAGAGTGAGCGATATTGTAGTGAGGTGAGAATATCAAAAGAGGGTTATTTCTTTTGAGTGTTGTAGTGGTCTTTGGAGTATTTTACTCGGACCTGCAAAGTGTAAAATTCCTTGCTATAGTGATATCAATTGCTGTTTTATACAAAAAATATACACTTTGCGGCTACCAAATATAAATAGTTTGGACCGCGGGATAAAAGTGATATTCGCCCAATTATAAGTGCAAAAAACAAGAAAAGCCCGTACTACCTTTTTTTTGGTACATTGGAAAATTGATACGAACTTATACGTACTATGGCATATACATTTTAACTAGTATTATTTGTAAAATGTGTTGATATAGAACTCTGATACTTTTGAAATAAAAACTATTTAAAGGAAATCAAATAAAATTTGTAATCAAGGCAAAACTCCAAATAACACGACAGATTCTTGTGTTTTACTTTTTTCTTTTTTTCCCAAAAAATATGCTAGCTTTTTTATTGTAGGAGTAACGAGTAATTATATTGCAGATAAAAGAAAAATGAAAAAGGAATTTGAGTCGGATTAGGCAATATGAAATTCAAGGGGGAAGGGCACAGATAGTCGTTTTTAGGACCTTTGTTTAAACATTAGCCAAAATGTACGCAGTTTTTAAGACAGCCATTTCATAATCAAATTTAAACTTGCGTGATTGAAGTTGAAAATTAAGGGTCTGAACTCTGAAGTTTCAAGCTTCAGTCCTTTGAGTCTGAAATTGAATAGCAGTTCAAACTTAAGATATTTTCTCTAAAGTTAGGTTGGACAGTCCCTAATTTTAAACGCGATCTGTATAGCGTTGTCCTACTCTGAATTTAAACAAAATGTTCAATTATACTTCTTTTAGGCTTAACCGATATTCAAAAATACACGTAAATATATTGAACTAGCTGATCCACGGTTTGAATCAAATTTCTATTGCTGCTATATGTCTACAAGAAGAGGAAGAAGAAAAGCAACAGCAACACTAATTTTGTCTGAAGTTCCCTATTCAAGTTAAAGTTTAAATACTTCTAAAAGAGCGGCTAAACTTTAAATAACACATGTAAAAGCGGATACTGGTGCAAATTCTACAAATTCAAACTAATAGGCCCGGGCAATAGACAAAGCACCCAAATTCCAATATCCGACCCAATTCAGATTACAACCCGATTTTCTCTCCCTTGACTTCACTCTCTTTCAGCTGCGAACTTGCTCCGGCACTGTAAGTTCCCCACACTGCAACCCCTTCTTCAGTAGAATTGTTGTATACTTCAAATTGTGCACTGTGTTGTAATTATTTGTTTTTGCTACCAATAGTTGGTTATTTTTAACTAGTTAATTTGTAGCCTTGTTTGCTTCCCACACAGTAGCAATTCAGTATGTTTCTCTTGAAAAAGCGAAAGAAATAAGGTCATGAAAGTGGAAATATTTTCATAACTTGTCATTTTTCTGCTTTGTTGTTCATGTTATGTATGTTTGTGAGTAACATATATCTGGCTTTGGCTACTTTTGTTTGTTCGTCCTTAAATAAATAAGTCCTATTGGTGTATCATGTGCAGTTGCATAACCTTTTTTTTTTATAATTATGGTGGTGTATGTGCCAGCTTGCGCTCCTCTCGACTATTCCACTGGATACCAGCTACCTCCTACCAACACATATATCGAGTAACTCTGCCAACTACGGCTTAGACACATGTGAAGAAATCACCTAGTACTTTTTTTCTGGCATATGAACTTGAGATCTCATGGTTCTCCTCCTCCCACTAATTAACCACTAGGCCACACCCTTGGGTGCTGTGCAATTGCATAATTTCTTTTTCTTGTTTTCAATAACAGTGGTGGGCGGCCTAGCTGTTGCGCACCTTGACTATTCCACCGGGTACCTGATACCTCTCACCAACACAAGTATTGGGTAATGTGCAGTTGCATAACTTGTAACTGCATGAATCATGGAGGATGTGTTGTATGCGTTATACTGATTCCGAATAATGTTCAACCAAAAAAAGAAAAAAAGAAAGGTGTTCAAAAAGAGCTCTTTTTGTTTTGTTTTTCTGTCGTTAGGCGTTCAAAAAGGGTTCTTTTATGTCATAACACATTTTCCATGTCATTATTCATCACTGTTGATTACTAACTGTCACCTTTTACCCCTATGAGTACCATTAGTAGGTCTCTTTCGATGTCAGATTATTCATTGCTGCAACCCCTTTTTTGCAGTCTTCATAAACTTGTTCTGAGATTTTTGCCAGTCAAGTTAACGGCTGTCCTGACATTGTGATAGATTAAGGAGATGGTCTGTATATCTAGCTGGTGTTTGAATCTTGTTCCAGGTTCCATTCTCCATCACACTCTTGTAATTTGGCTCTCTGTGGTGTCAATTAATCTTACATAAGTTTGCGAATCTCCTAAAAACTCAATTTACTTTAGGTGTGATCTGCTCCAAACTTGGTGGAGTCAGTCCGAGACTACCATCTCATGTCGTGAGTCGCAAGAGGAGCACATTCAAAATTCATTGTTGCAATCGGCTTGTGTCTAGAAAGGTTTATTTCATTTTTCTTCTTTTCTAATGGTAAATACATCTTTAACTTTGTATTTTTGGTATTTGCAGGTGCCTGGTAGAAGCATTACGCATTTATCTCTAGCTGGTCATTCTGTCAAATGTGCTTCATTTGTCGAAAGAAACTATCAATCTAGTGTCAATAACGATGAGGATTTGTTTCTGATAAACACTATGAAGCAAGCTATCAGGTATGTTAATTACAGAGGATCCAATACATATTATAATTGTGTGTGTGTGTGTGAAAACTAAAGCATCGGCATAACACATCTTCGGCAAGTGCATAACTGTAGAGGTAGGCGCGAGAGAAGATATCTACTTACCTAGCCTAAAGACCTTTTCTTTCGCCCAATATTTACTTTCTGGAGCTACAAGCTCCTCAACTCCCTTTATCAAATTAGTTATTTCTTCAATTTCGTCTAGAAATAGGTATTGATATCTTGTTTATATGAGATTTCCTTTTCAAGAAGGTCTATATTGGTTTTGATGACTTCATCTCGTTGGTTAATTCGTGAATCAACACTGCACATCTGGATCTAATGACTTGCTTGAACTTTTACTAGCTTCTCCAATATTTTCTCCTTGACTTGGATCCATTTTTCAATAAATAACATGCATGGATATTCTGAGATCCTTTAATAATTTGAATTTTAAAAGTTTTACTAGATAACTGGTTTTAGATGATGTATTGATGATATTCCGAAATTCCATTTGTTAATGGCTCAGGGCTGCAAAATCTATGCTACTATTTCTGGTTGAACAGCCAAGTCAGCTGAAATACATAGAATGGCCTGGATTTCAAAGCACGGTTAGTGTGTATAACCTTTTCTTTCTATTTGGTAATTATCATTTCCCTTCCATTGTCGTATGTGGCCAATATAAGGTGCTGATAATGTGTGTTACACCAAGTTGTTATCACTCTTTGTACTTGTTGCGTTGGAGCAACAACAACAACAACAATCCAGTATAATCCCATTAGTGGGGTCTGGGGAGGGTAGTGTGTACGCATGCCTTACCCCTACCCTGGGGTAGAGAGGCTGTTTCCGATAGACCCTCGGCTCCCTCCCTCAAAGAACTCCCCATCTTGCTCTTGGGGTGACTAGAACTCACAACCTCTTGGTTGGAAGTGGAGGGTGCTCACCACTAGATCAACCCACTCTTGTCAAGCGTTGGAGCAACCAGCTCTATATTATATTTGGCTTGTTACTTCAACATGCTCAACTCTTGGTTGTATCGGTCAGTTTAGACCATACCAATTTCTTGGTTACTCCATTGTGTATAACCAAATTTGGACTTTTCGACACCATCCTAATCATCTCACTTCTCTTCCGTATAGGTCGGTTTGGATAATTTTCAGTACTTTTCTTTTAACGTCGCCTAAGAGTCGCTGGGCTCGCTTGGGGTGACTTAACTTCCCTCAAGGTAAGGAACCAACTTTAGAGTTCATCTTGGTAGTGATTCCCCGGTATTCCGCTTTAGTTCCAAATCAAAAAGGTAAATTTCTACCTATGAACAATGTTATCAGAGGCGCGCTTAAAGCGCGCTTAAGCCCTGAAACGAGGCTTAAAACATGTTGAGCGCTTCGCCTCGCTTGTGGGCGCTTTAGTGTTGTCATCAAGGCTCTAAGACATACTTTTCGTTGCCAATGAGCGTAATCCTAAAAAGGTGACACTAAACAATTGATATTTCACTTTATCGTAAATTTACTTCAATTTCTTTGTCAATATATTTGGTATTCGTACTTATAGATATTTGTCTTGGACTACACATACATATTTGTAGTTTTTCTCTATTTGCGCCTTTGTTCGTTAAAGCACACGCTTTATTTGCACACTGCGCTTAAAGCCCCAACAAAACTTAGAGCTTTTTTGCGCTTTCGCCTTTGATAACACTGCCTATGAAGTAAATTTGGCATTTTTTGGTTTTATGTCGGTTGCTGTAGAGATATATGGTGTCCCTTTTCTGGTAGAAAAAGGGCTTAATAGATAGCTAGACACTCGAATTTTGCACGAACTGCTAGTTAGACACTTGAACTAACCTAGTGACCAGTTAGACGCCTCTCATTGTCTTAACTGTGGCGCCTTTAAAATATTTATCTGCACCATTGTAAATGTTCTGCTCTAACTGAAGCTAATTGTTACAAATCGTCTATGTCGTAGCTGTAACAGTATCTTCCATTTTTGTCTGAAACGAAAACATTTATTTACCCAAAACTTTTATGTTATTGAGAGTCTATTCTATGCCTTAATACAATGTTGAATTACACTGATTTGGTTGACTCAGAGATTAAGCATAGTTTCAAAGAATGTTTCTTTATTTTTGATATAAAACTAATCTTTTCTCCACTTGCTGCAGCTGAAGACGGCAACACTGGCACTTGTTCTAGTTGGGCTGTTTATCATCGCTTTATCGTCGGTTGATTCTGCCTTGTCTTACATGTTGGCTCTATTTTTGCGGAGAACAGCATGATTCAGGAAATAAGCCTGATTTCCTGGCTCAGTCAAAACCAACTTCGTCGAATGGTGCTCCATGTATTTCTTACTTCCGGCAATAAGGCTATGCACGACAATACAAGATTGGCCAAACTTGAGCAGCATGAGACCTTCAAACCTGTAGCTTTTTAGGCGTCCGCTGAATATGTCACCACGGAGAAGATCATTATGAGAGAGTAGCATTATACTGCCTCTGGGACTACTGCTATGGTAGTGTGACAAAAGTCTGTAAGTTTATGTCTATTGCATAGATATATAGTGGATGTTGATTACTTATTTATACATTTTCTTAATTTGTTGATAGACATTGAACTGGTTAATGGTTCTCGACTTATTCTTTGCATTTCGTTTGCAAGAATTGGCTTCTTTTCTTGAAGGTAGGCTTAAGCCCCTGTTTTGACGCATCATGCAAAAGGTACACTGTTAGAATGAGTGTGGTTTACATAAAGTGAAGGCTCTAAGCTTCGCTCCTTCAGAAATAGGAGGTGGATTTTCCTAGTGTAGTGACTATATATATA